AAGGTAGTCTGCAGTGCAGGAAACTAAGAAATGCTCCTGCATTAGGCTGTAACCTTTCAAGTTGTGAACAGCCAGCTTCAGGACATTGCTCAACAAACTCAAATTCTTGCTGGGTCTGTGATCCTCCATCACTTTCTTGACTATTTCATGTGCCAGATACCCAAAACTATTTAGCCCACTTGAAACCCTCACCTCCTCTTCCCCCAGTCTCCCCTGCTGGCATTTCAAGACTTGAATTCTTGTGAAAGTCTGACAGCATTTTTTTACCTTCTCTGAGAAGAGCCCAGCCCTGAGAGAGAAGCAGCTTCACCCTAATGACCACACTTACTTCCAAGAAACCAGTTTCTTGCCACCTCAGCCATATCTAGCCATCATGAGTGTTCCAGGAGTGCTCTGCATTGACTGCAGCAGCCAGGTCCCTGAGTACATAACCTCCTTGCATACTTGCTAGAGAGATGAAATGGGGGTACATTTATTTCCTCAGGGCTCTGAGGCTAATGTGGGAATTGGGACAGGGAACTGCAGGTCTCACATATTCCCGTCCGCTTGAGATAGGATGTTGGAGCAAGGTGTCTAGACAGACCATGAAGATGGGAAAAAACCTTGTTCTCACCCTCATAAGAGAGAGCAAAAAACAACCAGGCAATTTACCATCAGGTATGCCCCAAGGGACCTATCAAGATGGTGAAATTAGTATGTAAACCAGAAACATCTGCTGCTTTTTCTAGGTGATAGAAGTCTGAATATCTTTTTGTCCCATACCCTTGACTCACTTCTTAGAACCCAGAAATTAAAAATTTTGCTATACTGAAACTTTCACTCCCACAGCAAAGGTAAAGGGAGAAACAATCTGTTCTTCCCTCAGAGCTGCTTCGTACATACAGGAGGCACCACTTCCCCTTCAGGTCCCTAAAGCAAGTACTCACACAGGATCACAGGGTAATTCAGGCTGAAGGGGACTTTAGGAAGTCTGTAGTCCAACTCAATCTCTATTAGTCACATAGTCCAGCTCAAAGCAGTGTAAGTTGTAAGGTCAGACCAGGATGCTCACAGCTTTGTTCGGGTGGGTCTTGACAACCTCCAAGGATGGAGACACCACAGCCTCTCTGTCAACCTCCTCTGCTGCTTGGCTGTCCCAGTAGTGAAAAAGAAGTCTTCATATCCAGTCTGAATCTCTCTAGTTTCAGCTTACGCCTGTTGTCTCTCACTCTCCTCTCACATGCTGCTGTGAAGAGCCTGGCCCTGCCTCCTCGATCACCACTCTGTAGGTACTGGGGGCTGCCGAGAGGTGCCCCCGAAGCCGTCTCTGCTCGAGGCTGAACTAGACCCAGCCCTGCAGCCTTCTCCTCACAGAGCAAGTGCCCCTGACCATCTCGGTGGCATCTGCTGAACTGACTCCAGTTTGTGAATGTCTTTTCCTGTACTGCACAGGCCCAACATTGGATGCAGTACCCAGATGTGATCTAAAGAGTGCTGAGCAGAAGGGGAAAATCCCTGTCCTCCCCTGGCTCTCTAGGCCGGACCCCCGCTCACACAGGACGCTGCTGGCCCTCGTTGCTGGCCCCTGTTCAGCTTGCTGCCTGACAGGGCCCCTGGGCCTTCTCCAAAGAGCTGTCTCCCATCCCGCTAGCCGTGGCGGGATCACCGCCAGGGCTCTGTCCCCAGACAACGGCTGGGCGTTTGTCCTGGCTGAACTTCACGGTGCGCCTGTTGGTCTCTTCCCGCCCCCTGCGCAGGCTCCTCTGGATGGCTGCCCAGCAGTCAAGCGTATCAACTAGTCCTGCCAGCTTGGTGTCATCCGCAGGCTAGATAAGAATGTGCTCTGTCAGCAGGATGGGGCCAGGCTTGCCCGGCCATTCATACCTAATGGTTTGCCCAATATCCAAGCAACCAGACCTACTTAGAAATCGCTTTCCCATGGAGTTCCACAGAGAAGTGAGGCCAATAAATGGATTTATCCACTGTAGTGAGAATATAAGGTGCATAACTCATTATATATCTGTCTCTCCTAAGCACACAAGTGTAAATAAGGAGTAAATCCAGTCAGGTTAACACTGTGCCTACATGTGATGGGCTAAATTTTCGAATACCTTTCATTTTCCCTATCAACAGCACTTACTTATTTATATATGCAACTTTGGTTCTTCAAACCTGCTCTTTGGAAGCAGAATCTCCTGTGGTGCACAGTGCGATGACATGCACACGTGGTTTGTATTGCTAACTGTCAGAGCTGATGTTGAAGGGCTGTATTTACTAGTAGCAACTGAACAGGAAAAGCTGCATGCATGGGATACAAACTGTATTTTGAGAGTTTAGTCCTGCACTTTTGGAACCAATTTTACAAAAGAAGGCAATGAAGAGACCCAAGAGAAAAACTTACAGATTCTAATCCAATCTTTTCCCGTCCGCAAACCAGGACTCAGGTGAGATTTTCTGTAAGATTAGAAGATACCAGTCACTTGAGGTGGTTGGAAAGAAAAGACTTCAATGGAGTATTCATGTTTCTAAGATGACCTGAAGGGGAGTGTAACGGTTTGTTCCTTCCGCTGTTCGTCTTGCCTCTGCCCTTCGGTTCTCACAATTAGTATTAACAGGATGCAGTGCTTGTGCACACATATCCACGAAGATATTTTCCCTGCAGTCCTCCATTGTCGTAGCTGAGAAAAACTTGAGACTTCAGCAGTACAGTAGTTACTTTTACAACTCTGCCATC